TGCTTGTGCTAATCAGGCTGTGCTGAAACTGAAACTGAAACTGGCTGCTTGCTGCAAGGAGGCAAATGGCTGGGAGGCAGAGGCAGATTTTTTTTCTTGTTTTCCTCCCCAAAAGCTGGGTCTGTCTTATACTTTGGAGCGTCTTATACTCTGAAAAATACAGTAATCATGCTCAGCACTTGAGAAGGTTGCTGTACTTGTCCAGCACGGAGAATCCAAGCTGGCTGTTACCAAAATAAGCCCAGTTAAAAGCTCCCCTTATGCTTCCTCAGAATGAAATCGGCTGAGGATGAAAGGTTTGCCTATACAGCACTTCAAAGGCTTAGGAAAACCTGGGGAAACCCACCTAGCGTCATTGTAGACCCCAAGGTTTCTTAAGACCCCCAACATCTGAACCAGAATAGGACTCCAATTACAGGATCCAAGAGTCGGAAGGAGTGGCTGGAGCCATCAGGCCCAACCCTCTACTAAGCAGGAATACACATCCCAGCATCCTCCAGTGATGGCTGTCTTGCCTCTCTTGAAACATGCATGGGTGTAACTATTTTGCACCAAAACATGTCACCATTTTCTTTTCTTTTAACTTAATGTTTAGAGTACACAAACAAGTATACAAGTATTCTAAGCAAACACCCCCCCTCCCCAAGGGGACACTTTTCCTAAAACTACCCAAATGGATACTGATTTGAAATTTACCCCAAGGCACAAGCTGTTTGTTTCTGCCACATTTTACCTCCCAGCCACTGACTCATCCTGGTAAAGTCAAGGAAGACAATACGCAACTCAGAAAAGTCAAGCACGCAACCAGGACTGGATCCAGTATAAACAGGAAACACCTTTAGGATGGAAAGGCTCTTACCTTGAAATCGGCCAGCTGCTGGTTGATGACGTCCACCTCAGTCCCAACTACCCACTGCAGTGCTTCACCCTCTTCTGCCGCAGTGGTCATGTAGTTCAGCTCCTTGAGCTTGTTGTAGAAGTCTTTGACGCGAGCCAGCGTGGTCTCCACCTGCTCCAGGCGGCTTTTCCCCCTTTCAGTCAATTTGATGCATTGCTTACTTAAGGTCTCTAGTTCACGTTTCAGCCCTAGGAGATCAGGACTCCCTTCCTCGTCCAGCATCTGTCTACACTTCTCTTCGGAAGCCTGGATATCCAGTCTTAACTGGTGAAGTTTGCCCAGAAATTCCTGGGCATCGTCTGCTTGCGACTGAAGGCTGTCCATGTCCCTCCCAACAGGGCCCATGCTATCCAACTCATCATCTAGGTCAGTCAGTTGGGAAAACATTTCCCGAACATGATTATTAAATAGTCCTATTCCTTCAAGCTTGTTTTCCATGATTTTACAACATTCATTGACTTTTTGCTTCACCCCCTTGAAATCTTGCTGGACAATTTCAGCTTGGCGCAAGAGATGGGAAGAGTCTGATCCATCTGGAGTATCTTCCACGAGACCCTGAGTGAAGTTCCTGAGGTAATCCACCTGAGCTCCCAGGGCCTGAAGAGCCTCCTGTTGAGCTCTCAGTTTTTCCAAATTTTTACTGCTGCAGGCCTGAGGGCCAAGAGCTTCATAGATCTCCAGCTGGTGCTTTGTCCCTTCTAGTTTCTTTTCAATGTTCCTAAAACTTTCTTGGAACTCCTTGAGCCTTTGAGACATCTCTTCAAGGGACTCGGTCTTGGCTTGGAGCTCCTCTGTTATAGCATCCATCTTGTGGTTGATCTCTGCTTTCTCATCTCTAATGTCGTCTTCATCCATTTCTGATGCATCAATGAGGACATCAGCAGCACTATTCAGCATCTCTAGAAGGGAACGTCGTTTTGCTACATCACTCAACATGGCCTTTGACCTCAGAAGAGCGGCTTCCAGTTGCACCAGATCCAGAGTGACTTCTAACTCTAACATCTTTGACCTACAATCCTCCACCCAAGGGAAAAGGTCTTCCACGTGGCGCTGGTATTTCTGGGCCTTCTGCAAGCAATCCTTAAGTTTGGAGTGCCGGCTGGCAATTTGTTTGCTCAGCTCCTCCCAGTTTGCTTTCAAGCTAACCAGCTGGCTTTGCATGGTTGTCTTCTCTTCCCCAGGATGAACAGAGAGAAGCAAAGATTCTTCCTCGGCCACAATCATTTCATAGGAGCCACTGTGTTGGTTAAGGCTCTTTTGGGATTCTTCCTGCTCCTGAATCTGACACTGCAGCCTCTCCAGCCTGGCTGAGATCGGCCCACTCTGTGCCTGCTGTTTCAGCCTGTCCTCTAGCCATGTGTGGAGCTCATCAAACATCTGCTGGAATTGCTGGGAGCTGGCGAGGGCCGTCTGCAAGCGATTCAGCCGGTCACCTAGAAATAGGAAGGGATGCATGGCTGAAAATGTACTTCGCAATGCAAACTTTTTTTCAATGCACAAACTCAAATACCAGTCTTTGAACTTGTCCCGGGGGTGGGGGGAATGAATTATACAACTTTGAAGCAAGCTACTCTAGGAAATAGAAGCATTTGACATGGGATGGGATGGGCCGCCATTCTGTATTTTCTTCGGGTAGATGTATAGGGCTTAAGCCCAATCTTCCTTTTTCCCTCTGGGCAGTCCTATATAATTATTTTTAGTTCTAATTACTGTAGATTTTAAAATACATTTTCTGAATTTGAAAACAGAGAACCATTCAGCTATGGGAATTCTAGGATACACTGTACCAGTCCCTTACGTGATCTTTGGGGAGGTGTAACATTACTCATTGTGTGCTGGGTGAGCCATCCTGGAGAAGTGAGAATTTTCTCTGTCCCTCTCTAGCTGGGTATGTACAGCAAATCGAACCATAAAGGAGTTTGGTTTTGCCTTGTATGGTGTTCTTTCTTTGTGAGAGTACAAGGAAGGAAGAGCCAGCATTGTCTCCTGGACCACCATGCACATCAGAGTGTTTGGGCACTAGTGTTTGAGTGTTTACAACATTAACGTGAGCTACAGGCTCCTTCCTAGGAGACCAATGGCTTGATGTGTGCTAATGGCCCTGCTGATTTTAATGCCATCTAAATGTGTACATTAGAAGCTACTGGGCCCAACTGCACACTACCATCTTCCTACAACTTCTGGAGCTTTGAGTCTACTTCTCAATTAAATGACAATGCTCACTTCAAAACCTGTGAACACTGTACCTGCTAAATCCTCCAGCCCTTTGAGAGGCAAGGCGACCGTTTCCAGGCGCTTCCTGAGCTCATCTTTCAGGTACTGCTCTCCCATGAGAACCGAGAGCTGCTCGCACAGGGCTTGAGCCTCTGTGATCTCCTCTTCCAGCTGCTCCAGCTCAGACCGGATTTCACTGGTTTCCTCCAGCTGCTGTTTCACAGCCTCTGGTTGGGTGCTGATGGCAGGCTGGGTGCTCAGGCGCTGTCCAGCAGCCTTCACCTTCTCAGACAACCCCTGGAGTAGCTCTTGGAACTGGGTGCTCTTGACCACGGCCTGGTCAATTTGACTGGAACGAGAGTTGAGGCATTCTGTAAGCTTGGTCCACTTCCTGTTGATAGCCTGGAGCTCCTCCTGCACGTGGCTGTGGGGTGGAGACGTTTCATCAGGACTGGTGGGGATTCCCCGGGCTGCCTCATTCAGCTGATCATACTGGTGCTTCCGAGCTTCAAATTCCTTCAGCATGAACTGCAACACAAATACGAATGTGACGGACTAGCGGCATTTGATTAAAACAAAAGGTAAAGATGAGGGGAGAAGGAACGGATGGGTGCTATTAGCCTCACTATAGTAGGAGTCACCACTTTAAGAACTCAGAAACCCACGAAGACAGCCACAAACTAACTGCCTCCCCAAATTCCACTGAAATAATTAAGATGCCTATTCCTGTGAAATAATTGGTGGTTTTCAAGTCTTCTGCCGTGGGGGGGGGTGGTTCATCTTTATATGGATTAACATGAAAATGAACTCCCACACATTGCAAAGGATTCTGAAAAACACTCTAGGGAGAGCTCTTGCTTTATGGACGATGGGTAAGGATTCTAGGATTCCATAGCTGAATCCCATTTTCCCCCTTATTCATCCTCATTATTGACATTCTGTATGAATAATCATCTTCCTTGATTGCGTACTGCTGTTAGGGTATGGACAGTTAGGAGGATGCGCTAGAAATCCCTCAATGTGTCTTCCACAATGCCTTGCATTGCAACCTCCTGTTTTCCCGCTACCGTGACCAAAGAAGCAATTCCAGCCACATGGACTGGGACTTGGTGGAAAGGGAAGCAACATGTTGAGGGAGACCATACTTGAGAGCCAGATACAAAACAGGTCCAAGGAGCATCTTCTTCCAAGGACCTTCAGGGTCAAAGCAACAAGTGGCAATATTTATATCATCCATTAAAAACTGTATCTCATCTTCATTCCAAAGGAACATTTAATGTAAAACATGTATAACACCAACTAACAAATCAATTAAGAGCCAAAAAAATTAGTCATAAAAAGTAGGAGTTTAAACTGGCTGACAACAGAGCTAAGAGCCCATTTGGAAACTCTTAAAGCGTCTGAACGTGGAATTTTTGGAAGTGTTGCACAGAAACTGCAGAGGTTGAGTTTTCAATACATCTCAGATTTTCAAAAATGCTGGGGAGGGCGATAGAGTTCTAGTCTGCTGCTGCTACTCCAAAACATATAAACAAATGGCAGAAAGAGTATCAAGAAGACTTTCCCTCCCTCTTGGCTGACTGGCTAGAGATTTCTTAGCAACATGCTTTCTTATTCCCAAAAAAGAGGGAGACACATTAAATATGAGCAAGATGTTAAACGAACCAAGTATTCGTAAATGAGCCTTTCCTCTATCAGGGCCTGAAGTGGAACCAGAGGTACTGTGAAAGGCCATGCAGCCTCCTCAGCTCCCAACTCCACCCGCCCTGACCTCTCCTCGCTCCGTCCAAGCAGACACACAAAGGCAGAAGCCAAGGCTTTTGCTTGACCTACCTGAACCTGCTGCTTTTGGGCATTCAGCATATTGGGATCAATGGACAGGGGTCCCAGAACGCTCATCATCAGCTCCTTCTCCATCAGCCAGGGCCTCAGCTGCCCTTCGGCTTCCTGAAAACTGGCCAGTTCATTGGCTGATTTTTCTAGCTTCTGCTGACGCTCCTCTGTCACCTGCTTGGCATTTGCCCACCTGGAATCTGAACACCGAAACCACCATGGTTGGGGATATTGGCAACATAATGCAAGAATGAAAAATATCTTGCACAAATCTTTTTACCACAACCAGTGGCTAAAGAGGAGCCAAGTCACTGAGAACGAGAGTGGATCCTGCCTAAACCAATATTTACATCAAGGTTCTTTGTCCTCACTTACACCAACATTTCTCAGATGAAAATAGGCACAGCTATGCTTCTTGTTTCCTTTTCTCACACCAAAATTCACTGCCCAAGTGTCCTTCTCTCTCCACAGCGAGGACTCTTCCCTGCTTGCGTACAGAGAAGACACCCATTCTGCAAGACCCAGCCTGCTCTGCAGCATCACGTCCTTTGACTCCTGTAGTTGTCTGGATGTGGGAAGACACGCTCACTTAGCAACAAGTGCTATCATGCAGGCAAGGTTCCTGGTAGATGGGAGTAATGGCCCTGTATTTATGTCCCAGGCTGTCACTGAGCTTCTTTCTGGGACTTCATATCATTGCAAAGGGATTTTTTTTCCTGTGCCAAATATTGTGATATTTCAGCAAGCTCATCCCCAAGACCTCATGGGACAAGAAGGTTGGGGGAACTTGTAGGATTAAAAAAAGCCTACCACATTATTACTACTATTGTAATTATTATGTTTGGTTTAATACTTATTATTTATTTATATAGTATAAACTTATATACTGCCCACCTCACCTGAAGGTGAATGCTGCCAAAAATGTTATGGAGCACTTATACCATGTTCAGACCAGAAGTTCTGAAGATATATAAAGAAACCAATATCAATACCATGGTATATATGCTCCCCAACAGGCAGCCATTTCATAGAAGCATGTTCTTATTGTGTGCTTCTTGTTTTGCTCCCTTATCCCACAGGTTCTTCACTGCTCCTAAGGCTGTCACTCTCCCCCTGGATCATTACACAATGAAAGGCAACCAGAGGAAACTCGGGGTGGCCTGCAGGAATGTTCTGAGTTCTTAATTAGCCCCTGCAGAGTTTCTCCGAGATTCTTAGGCTACGTACTTAAGTCTTCCAACATCCTCTTCCAGTTTCTTGCTTCTGGAGAGTCAGGGTATTTCTTCAGGAGTCCAGAGAGCGATTCCTTGGCTGCCTGGACCTTCACAGCGTTCTGCTCCAGATCACCCAAAAATGCCTATTCAGAAAGGAGGAGAGGAAGGAGGAAAGCATCAGACTCTGTGGGCGTGATTGAGAGTGAGCTAAAGACAAGACATGTTTTCCATCCACTCGATTTCTTCTTCTTCCCTCTGAGGATAGCAGAGGCTGCTGCTAGAACAGCGATGGCTGTGATCAGTGATGACCAAAGGTCATCAAAGGCGAGGACCAATGTTTTCAGCCTATTTTAGGCTTTATGAAAAGGCAGCCTTTCTCCAAATCAGAAGTACCAGCTACCTTACTTAGATAAAAAAAATGGAGGAGTTTCAATGGGTAAAATACAAATCTCAAGGTTTTGTTTCTCACCTGGGCTAAAAAAACTGGTACCCAAAAGTCCAGGGGGCCTATGAAACCATAGAAAAGTTGCTTGCGCACGGAGACACCCATGTTCTACACATTTTGAATCTGTCCCCTCAGTGGCTTGAAAGCCTGTGACCTGAAGCCTCTGCATCTGGAGGGAGGGAACGATTGACCTAAACACTGGTCAGTATTTGAAAAGGATTTACCACATTTTTCAGAGTATAAGACGCTCCAAAGTATAAGACGCACATAGCTTTTGGGAAGGAAAACAAGAAAAAAAATATCTGCCTTTGCCTCCCAGCCATTTGCCTCCTTGCAGCAAACAGCAAACAGCCTGGTCAGCTTCAGCACAGCCTGATTAGCACAAGCAGCTGATTGTTGGTTGGATCGGCCTCCCAACGATCAGCTATTCCAGGCTGCAGGGATCACCATCACCTATTGCTGCCTCCAGGTGCCCCGTTTTTGGCCTGTTCCAAGCAGCGGGGATCGGAACGGGTGGAAAATGGTGCACGTGGAGGCTGAAAATGGGATGCAGAGGCCAAAAAAGGGGCACGCGGAGGCAACAATAGGTGATGGTGATCCCTGCAGCCTGGAACAGCTGATCGTAGGGAGGCTGATCCAACCGACAATCAGCTGCTTGTGCTAATCAGGCTGTGCTGAAGCTGACCAGGCTTTTTGCTGTTTGCTGCAAGGAGGCAAATGGCTGGGAGGCAGAGGCCGAAGGGTGGGGGCCAGCGAGTGGGCGGGGCTTCGGCAACATTCGCTGTATAAGATGCACAGACATTTCCACCCATTTTGTGGGGGGGGAGTACATCTTATACTCCCAAAAATATGGTAGCCTGTTCTTTGAAAGGACACTCTCCAAGCAGCACTTGTAATAGTAATGCCAGAATATATTACAGAGCACCCACAAATCTCTTTTAAATGGAATTTCAACCATTTGAATAACTACATTATATTTTTGTGGGAGGGCTGAAAAGGGGTTTATAAATTCAGTTTGATGCTTCAGATCAGCCTCAAACGGAGAATCGTTCTCCTTGGGAAAAGCTACAAAAGGTCAAGACACTTGCCATATGCTTTGCTGAACAATATTATTATGGATGGTTTAAAAAAAACAAGAAAGAGGCTTTTATGTATACATGAAAATAAGACCTTGTTATGTTCTGCCTGAGCTCTCATTGTCTCCGATTTTGTAGGTGAAGAGGAAGCTTCCAGGACTTTCAAAGCCTGCTCCTTCTCCTCCAACCACGTCAGCACAGCCTTCACCTGGTCCTGGGCCTCCCTCATCTTTTCCAACATGGCCGAGAGTTGCTCAAGACGCCCCCGTAAAGCAGCACCCAGCCCTTCGTATTGCTGGTTGACGTCTGACATGTCACACTGGATCTCTGTCAGATCTAAGGCAGAAAAAGAACCCAAGTGGAATGAGAGGAATTCTTTAATTTGCTTCTGGTTATACATATAAGGACTCAATGTAACAGATACAGATGTAGGAGTCTACATATGTTCAGTATAATAAACAACATGCATGAACAACATCAAAGGTCGATTCAGGTGAAAGGCCTTCTGTACACTCAGGCTCCCCTTTTCTTAAGAAAAGGGATGATGGAAGAAAAGAGACTTCAGAATTTCCATAATCTGCAGCTTTTAAACTATCCTCTTCCTCAGAATCAGCAGGTCCCTTGCTTAGAGAGCCATAAGAAAGCTTTACATTCTGGATGCATCTATGATTTCCACTTAGTTAAAACCTTTGAAATAACCTGAGATGAGTGACAAGGGAATGAGTGGGAAAGAACCTTCCGGTTTTACTCCATCCACATGGCCCCTGACTCATAAAAGAAAGAAACTGCAAAGGTCAAAGCAACTTACTCTCTTTCTTTGAACAATGGGAATGCAAACAAAATTGCTATTGATAGGCCTCACCGCAGTTACATAAAGACACAAGGTATGCACAATTAGCTGAATTGCCTCACCTTTGCAGGTGTGATATCCATTGACGCTGCCTGTTGAACTACCACCAGCAGGGAGCACAGCACCTGAATAAAATCATAAGAAAGGAGACATAATGACATGGTAGTGTAATATTTTGGAAAAGACACGCAGGTTGTGTCCTTCACTGCTGGAGCACAACTAACATCCATTCATGCTGCTATAAACGAACTGGATCAGTATTTTTCAACCTTGGCAATTTTAAGATGTATGGATTTCAACTCCCAGAAATCCCCAACCAGCCATATTTAAAATTGCCAAAGTTGAGAAACATGGAGTTAGATTGTCATAAGCCCCTTTAGGGTAGGAGAACCACTTATGCATTGTTTTTAATCATACAGAAAAAATTACTGCTAAGGCATGCCCTTTTCAAACTATCAACATAAAATGCCATTAATGAAGGTCCAAGAGTGAGAGTGAATTCACATTTAATTAGTGTGTAAATACCATTTCCTTGAAAATAAGACCTATTCCCAAAATAAGCCCTAGCATGCTTTATGCACGTACCTAATATAAGCCCTACTGCCAAAAAAAAACCCTACTTAAGAGCCTGCGCAGCCGCCCGTCCGCCCACCCATTCCACCTGGTTGCTCATGGTGCCACGGCCACAAGAAAAGGTGGGATGGTGATGGAGCTGCCCCATGTGTCCCATACCAGCTTACATCAGGGCCCACGCAGCCAGGCCATCCACACCCCAACACCTGCCTCATGGCGACAGCATCAACCACCATGTGCAGCAGGAACCCCGACCCACTTCTTCTGCTTGCTCATGGCCACAATGGAGCAGGAGGCCGAGCAGTGTGCTGGTGCATGGCTGTGAATCGAAGCACGTGTCAGGGCATGGATGGCCTGACTGCGAGGGCCCTGAGGTAAGCCAGTGTGGGGCAAATGGGGAAGTCCACCCACCTTGCCTCTTGGCTGCAGCACTCGCACTGGCGCATTGCTCAGCTTCCTGTTCCATTGCAGCTGTGAGCAAGCAGAAGAAGTGGGCTGGCAGCCCTGCGGGGTCCTGCTGGACGGGGCTGCTGGTGTAGTGGCCACAAGGCAAGGCAGGGGGGGACTGGCTGCAGGGGCCCTGAGGTAAGCTGATGCAGGGTGCATGGGGCAATCCATCCCCCCTGCCTTGTGGCAGCGACACTAGCAAGCCACGTGGCCTCCTGCCCCACCGCAAGCAAGCAAAAGTGGGTCTCCCATACATGGGGAGGGGGGAATAAGACACCCCCCCCAAATAAAATAAGACCCAGTCTTATTTTCAGGGAAGCACGGGTACAAAAGCAGGCTCATGCTCCCGGATTCAAGAGGTTGCATCTTTCTTTCACCAATGCACAGGAGAAAGAGAGTTCACCATTTTGAATGACATATCTCGAAGGCTCCCATTTGAAAACAAAGATAGTGGTTGGAGTTTTTGTGCTGCCCCCTCTTTTTAGTAGAATGAAGTCAATTCTCTGAGAGACTTGTTTGCTTGGCTGTTCATTTCTGGGGCTGTCTATTAATCTAATTAATCTATTAATTCAGAATGCCTGCTGTTTTCCGTTATGAGAATATGCTGGCATGGAAACTCTCCCTGCACCCGGCTGAGGAACCCCAGGAGGAGACCCTGCAAGGCTGTGAGCAGCCTAAGGTTATCGTGACGTCTTTTGCTGCACGCATGTGATTAAGCATTACGGAACTACCTGCATAAATAAAGGTAAATTATTATATTGCTCTCACTATTAACATTTCTCCCTTTTGCATTTTATTTTTCTAACTGCAACACGATCGGTCCAAAGAACGCTTGTTTTGGGGGGGCCCTAACAGAAACAAAGAAGGTGTCACAGTGAATGTTCCATTTGGAAGGACGGTGCAGCTTGCCTTTCGCTATGCCCAGCGCATGACGGCTTCACTAACACGGCTGTTGTTTTGAGGCCCGATCTGGGTTCCCCGGCAACGGCACAGCCACTATAGAGCGCTTGCACACTGTTGCCTTTGTGTCATCATGGGAAGGAGCCCTCTGACCCGAGCAGCCGGGGAGAAGGGCTGTTGCATATTTTACTTCTGCAAAGTGTAAGGCAAACAATTGGAAGCAATTAATATGGGCTGCCAAGGAATGCAGGAATCAAGCTACAGTCTACTCCGGAGTGAGGGATGTGGCTGACAGAGACCCCAGGGATCAAACTTATTGCACCACAGAAGAACAAAATGGTTAGGACCCACAGTTGTTGTTTTTTTTACTCCCCAGGACAAACATGGGAGTTTTAAAATATATTAGGGGGGAAACAAAAATCAATCCAGCTAAGAAAGAGTTGAAGGCACTACATGGTTGGGAAGTAACTGCAGGGCTGTGATTTCGTTTATAGCCATGGTCATCCTTCTGCACTGTATACAGTCAACTATAGTCATTAATCTCTGCCCTGGAACCTGCCTTGTGGAATCTTATCGCGCCCTCCCCCAAGTAAGATCAGCTCCCTCCCTCTCAACATTCTGCAAATCCATCAAGATTATATTATCAAATATATTATCAGGTTGGGGGTCCCAGGAAGCCGGAAGATTTTGCAATGGCTCTCTTACTGCCATTAACACCACCCTCTCTTCTTTCGTGCACTTTTTGGTGATTTTTATAGTTTTCAGTGATTGTTTTATGTGTATTTATTGGTTTTATTTTTAACTGAGTGTGGTACACCAGCCAGGGCCATCCTGTTGTGAGACGAGATGAATTGGTATAAGAGTTCATTGCATGCCATGCAACCCCAGGACAACCTGCAGTCTGCACCTGCAATAAGCTCCAACTGGACCCTGGGCCCACACGCACCCATCTTCTCCAGTGAGAGGGATTGGGCTGAGAGGTGAGTGGGAGCTTTTTCAAGAGGCAACTGGACTTTCTGGTTTCCTCTGAAGGTGTTTCACTTCTCATCCAAGAAGTTTCTTCAGCTCTGACTGGATCCTTCCATTTCCCACCATTCAGTCAGAGCTGAAGAAACTACTTGGCTGAGAAGTGAAACGCCTTCGAAGAAAAACCAGAAAGTCCAGTTGCCTCTTGAAAAAGGACCACCTTTGGGACAACCGTGACCCAATAATGAGGAAGAATCACTATAGACAGCGGTATTTGGACCTGCTCTGCCGAGTCCCAGCCTAGCATCATTACACCACACTGTCTCTGTTTTTGTACCTGCCTGTAAAAAAACAGATAACAAAAAACATTCAGCATTAGCTGGCTGACCAGCCTGGCCTCTCCCCCCAGTCCAAAGCACCTTGTTCCAGAAATCTTGGTGGTTGTTTGAAAGAGAGGCCCTCAACCATCCCTGGAAAATATATCCCTGGGAAATATGCTCTGCATGTGGTTCAAAAACCATGGTGATGTCACAGATATGGAATGTCTGTCAGGCAGGACTGACCTGCAGGGGCAATTAAGCAACTCCTCAAAGTGTTTGGCTTTGTGTTTCTCAATGTCCTTCAAGGAACGCGGTTCTTGTAATGGAAGGGAAATATTGTCTTCCTTTGAGTGCTGTATAATCTTGCAATTAACATGTAATTTATTAGTTGGGGCTAATTTGATAAGTGCTATTTATAGTACATTATAGGTCAATATGGTTATGTGATATATTTTTTTTGCTTTACAACTGCATCACTTAGTGACGGAGCTGCCAGTCCCAACTGCAGTGATTAACTGAGGAAAATCTCTAGATGGCATTCATGTTTGACAGATTTAAGCAAAATTCTGTTGGGGGGATTTACAAATGCACATGGAACATTGTAAGCACTTTTATTAAGCACAGCTTCTATTCATTCTAGGTTGCCTTAAATTATATAGGGTTTCCTGCTTGAGCGGGGTGGGTGGGTGTTGGACTAGAAGACCTCTAAGGTCCCTTCCAATGGTCTTATTCTGTTACATTGGGAGATTGTTTGAAAAAGGGCTGACTTGTTGAATCAACCATTTGATCCCTCTAAGCTGAGTACTATCTATTCCACAGTTAACCAAGGAGGGTCCCCTCCAAACGTTTTGATTACAACTGTTCCCCCTCCGGTGGGTTTAGCCAATGAGGAAAGATAGTGGAAGGAGGAGATAGAGGAGAGATAGTGGAAGCTGCCATCTGATTCATCTTCCACACTAGTCAACTGGCCACCCCACAATTTCATCCAAGTTTTGCTACCTGACATCCTTTAATTAACTGATTTAATTAGAGACCTTCCTCAGAGCAAAACATTACTTCCCTCATTCCATCAGTGAGCCTATTCCTCCCTAAGGTCTCTGGCAGTCTATAGGAACACAATGTAGGAATGTAAACAGAGGAGCTTTCCATCTTCAGTTTCTGCCAAGAACGGGAGAAAAGTTGGAACAGGACAACAGTGCATCTTTACCTTCTTCCTCTTCCAAGCCTCCCATAATTGTTATCTAACAAGGAACTAAATTCAGACTGGAAGTTTAAAGAGAGGCGGGTAAGAATAGAAAAGAGTGCACTTCTCAGTCTCCTACCTGTCTTGGATTGTGCATCTGGGGCTGTAATCTCAACGATTAAATTCTCTAAAGCTGTCCCCCGTTGGTTCATTTCCTCCACAAGAATCCTCTTTGCTAGCCATTCTTCCACAAAGACCTGAAAACAGAACAGAGAACACATAAGAACATGACCACTGGCAGATGAACAGGTCCCAAGACTTCATGGCAATTTGATACATTCAACATTCCTTCCCATAATTATTTTGTCTTCTGTTACATTAAAAATGACCACCATATTTTGGGGAAATTCTGAGGCTATTCTAAAGGTTTTGAGAGCTGCATGTGGTCCTGGCTCCCCCACCATTTTATTCTTTCAGCTTCTTAGCAGGCCAGTTTTTTGGCAACAGCCAGCCTGCTCCCTCCCCCTGAGTAAGCCCTGAGTAAGCAGGGCATCTGGGCAGCCACCCTCTATTACCTTTGGCCACACAAGACACGGTGGGCAAGAGGCCTGTGGCTGCAGTGTACACCATGACAATGAAAGTGTCCACTCACTTCCAACGTGACTACAAATCTGTTTGGAGATAATCAGCAAAGAGGGTGGGATGAGGGGCAGGTGGCTGCCTACCAGGAGGTGGAACCACACACGAGGTAGACTTTGCCACATCACCTTGGGATTTCACCTTTCAAAGAGCTTTTTGCACAAAGTAGCAGTTCCTTGTCAGGATAACTGCCAAAATACAGGGATAAAGCCACGTCCTCAGGGGTGGGATTCAGCCAGTTCAGGCCGGTTCGAGCGAACTGGACATTAATTTTACATCCAGTTGGACGAACTGGTAGTTCCAAAGACCAGCTGGCCCAGCTCCTCCCAGTTGTCCCC